CTGTCTCCTTATTGTTTTTTCAGCAAGTGAGACCCCATTAATGCGGAGAAGGAGGGCCCACTTTGAAAAAAAATAAACCAACTCCTTGCAAGCAGAAATGTAGCCTTTCAAGGAGAAAAATGCCTAACTTTCAATGAGCAGGGAACTTTTGTCCTCCCCATCTCCTTACTATTATTTTTCAGCATGTTAGACCCTATTAATTCGGAGAAGGAGGGTCCTTTTTTTTATCCTCACTGTCTCCTTATTGTTTTTCAGCAAGTGAGACCCCATTAATGCAGAGAAGGAAGGCCCACAGGTCCACTTTGGGGGGAAAAAATAAACCAACTCCCCGCAAGCAGAAATGTAGCCCTTCAAGGAGAAAAGGGCCTAACTTTCAATGAGCGGGGAACTTTTGTCCTCCCCATCTCCTTACTATTATTTTTCAGCATGTTAGACCCTATTAATTCGGAGAAGGAGGGTCCTTTTTTTTATCCTCACTGTCTCCTTATTGTTTTTCAGAAAGTGAGACCCCATTAATGCAGAGAAGGAGGGTCCACTTTGGGGGGAAAAAAATAAACCAACTCCCCGCAAGCAGAAATGTAGCCCTTCAAGGAGAAAAGGGCCTAACTTTCAATGAGCGGGGAACTTTTGTCCTCCCCATCTCCTTACTATTATTTTTCAGCATGTTAGACCCTATTAATTCGGAGAAGGAGGGTCCACATTAAAAAAAAACAACTCCTTGCAAGCAGAAATGTAGCCTTTCAAGGAGCAAAGGGCCTATCTTTTCATTGATCTGGGAATTTTTGTCCTCCCCATCTCCTTACTATTATTTTTCAGCATGTTAGACCCTATTAATTCGGAGAAGGAGGGTCCACATTAAAAAAAAACAACTCCTTGCAAGCAGAAATGTAGCCTTTCAAGGAGCAAAGGGCCTATCTTTTCATTGATCTGGGAATTTTTGTCCTCCCCATCTCTTTACTATTGAGACCCTATTAATCCAGAGAAGGAAGGCCCACATGAGGAAAAAAACCAGCTCCCCGCAAGCAGAAATGTAGCACTTCAAGGAGAAAAAGTGCCCAACTTTTAATAAGCAGGGAATATTTCTCCTCCCCATCTCTTTGCTATTGTTCTTCAGCAAATGAGGCTCCTTTAATTCAGAGGAGGAGGGCCCGCCTTGAAAAACCAGCTCCCCGCAAGTAGAAAAGTAGCACCTCAAGGCCAAAAGTGGCAAATGATTTCAATGAGCAGGGGATATTTAGCCTCCCCGTCTCCTTCCTATTGCTCTGCAGCGATCGAGACCCCTTTAATTCAGAGAAGGGAGGTCCGCATGAGGGGGGGGGGGAAACCAGCTCCCCGCAAGCAGAAATGTAGCACTTCAAGGAGAAACCAAAATTTTAACGTGTAGGAAATTCTTTGTCTTTTCCTTCCTTTTTTCCACCCCTGTTTTTCCAGCTCTTCGTTTTCACCCACGTCTCTGTGTGTGCCTGCTTTTTCCATGCCTCTGAGCATGCACGGAGTCCCGTGCCAGCTGTCGGTTTCGTGCCCTCCCACCCCCACCCCACCCCGGGACGAAAGGCCGGTTTGGGGAACGAGACTTTTGCTCTGAATAAATCTCGGGGGAAATGTTCTTTCCCTTTTTTTTCGCCGCGAAACGGGCATTTCCTCTTTTGACTCACCCAGCCCTTCCCCGGCGTTTTGCGTTGACTGCAAAAAAAATATTTAAAAACACACACACACACACACAAATACACAACTTGCACTGTCGCCACCCCGATTCGCTACGCTTCTCCTTTCCAGCACCGGAGAGCCACCGGTTCGGGTCAGAGGATTCCAGAGGCGTTACGGGGGCGGGGGGGGGGGATCCCGTTCGCTCATCCGGGGCAGCTGGGTATCGCGCCCCTCCCTTCCTTTGGCATCAGCCGTTCGGGTGGGTATGCGGTGGGCAGCGCCAGTCAGTGGGCCCAGGGTGACACCTAGGACAATAGAGGCCTTGGTCTGGAGGAGGAAACAGCAGTTGGGGGGGGGGAGGCAGTGGGGGGACGGGACTCCAGATCCCATGGTTCTTGAGGCCGGCTGTTGGCGCGATGGGCATCAATCAAAAGGAAGGCTTGCCAGCTTATGATTCAAAGAGCTTTTTAAAAACTTTTTCTTTATATTTTTAAAACATTCTTTAAACTTCCTTCTTCGCTCTTTTTCAGCGTGTTTAGCTCGAAAAGATTTCCGTGTTTCTCCTGTTTCTTTAAAAAAAAATTGTTTAAAATAATACTCTTGATAATCTCTTTTTTCAACTTCTTTTTTTCCTTTCCTGTACATTTTTTTTTTACCCTTTCTTTCCTCCCTCTTGATTTATTTGTTTTAAAAAAAAACACTACCAACTTCTTTTTTTAAATATCTTTTTAATGTGTCTGCTTTGGGGGGGAGGGAAGTGGGGTTGGGCTAGATGGCCTACGAGGTCCCTTCCCACCCCTGTTAAATCTGTTAAAAGGGTCTCCCCCTCACCTTTTTCATTTTTTTAAAAAAAGAGTCTTCTCTTCAAACCTCTTTTTTTCCCCAGTTTCCTTTTTCTTTTTTCTTTCAAAAAAACCCAAACGCTCTTTAAACTTCTTTTTAAACTCTTTTTAATGCCTTCACGATGGGGAACGTACCCGCTGTTTTCGCGGCCGGCCTTCGAATCCGAACGTCGCCGAAACGATAGGGAGGAAATGAGAAGGACGAGAGGAAGGGTCTCACCAGACCTCCATGGCAACCGGAGCCCGCAATGTTCCGCACGGGCCTTCCGCCGTTGCCCGGACAGTCAAGCGGCCTATGGGGTTTGCTGGCATCATCACCCTCTCGTTTTTCTTCCCTCGCCGCAGATGCCGTGAGGCCGCGTCATGGCGGAGGAGTGGGCCCCGCAGCTGGTGGACTACTTCGTGGTGGCCGGCTTGGTGGACACCTCCAAACCGCTGGAAGATGACACCCAGGGGTCTCGTCCGGCCCGCCCGAGCGAGCCCATTGTGGACGTCGCGGTTATCGTCCGCTCGCAAGGCGAAGAGGTCCCTCAAGGTTTCACCTGTATCGACCGTACCACCTCGGGGCACCCTGTGGAGCTCAACACCAGCCTCCTCAACAACCCCCAGATGTTCGTTTGCTACCGGCGGGGGCGGGATAAGCCCCCCATCGTGGAATTGGGGTAGGTCGCGGAAGGTTCGGGAGGCAACCAGCCAAGAACAGCTATCCTGTCCTTTTCGGAGACAACTCCGTACTATAATTCCCAGGATTGAGAGGGGCGCCTTATGCGTTCCACAGGTAGCATGAAAAGCCCTCTCTGTGGGCACGCCAGCCGTCGCCCAGCCCAGCTCCACCGTGCATGCGTCAGGGGGCGGGGTGCATGCGTGGGAGGGCGCTTGCATTGTATTTTGAGGCCTTGCGCAGGTGCGGCCCACCTCGCGCCCCGTTTTGAGCCTGGAAAGCCACCTCCAGCAACCCGGGAGCCAAAATGGGCACCGGCGGGGCGCGCACATTACAAAAAGATTACGCCGACCCAATGCCCTAATCCCGTTCCCTGGGAGGGTGACCGTGTACGACGTTTCTTCTTTTTTTTAGGGTGCATTATGGGGGGAAGGACCAGCCCAAAGCGGGCTACAAAATTGTCGACACCACGCCCTACAGCCACTCGGCCAACCTGGCCTCGGGTGCGCCCGGACACCAGCACACCTTCCTGACGTATCGGCGGGCCAGCGAGGGGCAGGCGTTCAGCGCCTTGGGGATCACGGACATCTGCCTTATCATGCCCAGCAAAGGGGAGAGCACGCCGCACACTTTCTGCCGGGTGGACCGGAACCTCAACGCCGGGATGGTGAGTCGGAGGGAGGGAGGGCGGGAAACGACGGGTCCAGGCGCTTTCGGGCGGACGTTCGCGAGAGTCCCTCGCAGCCCGGCCCACCGGGTGGCGGGTGGTGGAAGGGGTCGTCTTGAGAGTCCCCCAGTGTTGGAAACTCGTGACCCCCGTGGTGGGAGGAGGGGGGACAGCTCCATGATTTTTTTATGGAAAGAGACGGGGATACTGTTCCTGGTTTTGTGTCTCGTTGGACGAAGCCGAGGGGCCGATGGCCAACTTCTCAGATCTCGCCTGTTTCTCTGATGGACTGACACCCCGTCTTTCTCTCTTCTCCCCCCAAAGTGGGGACCTGCCCTCTACATCTGCTACAAGATGGCGCTCGCCCAAGGAAACACCCTTGTCTACGAAGCAGGTAAGGAAAATACGGGAGACGTTTCGCGACACGAATCTTGGCTTTTGGAGGTTGGTTTACGGGGGCACAGTCTCCAAGGGCGGGCCCAGCCAAGCTCGGGAGGCGGTAGTCAATCCCGTAGTTTGCCAAAGCAAAGAGAGGCAAAGAAAGAGAATGATGCTTTCACCTCTTCACCATGCTTTATTTCTTGTTTTTTCCTTTTAATTATTTGTGAGAAATAGCGCCAGAAGCATCAAAATGGCATCGGAATAAAGATTTAAAAGCACATTCTAATTTCCTACTTTCTTATGAAGAGTTGAATATATCCTGTTGGTTTAAGAGGCAGGAAATTGCTATTAAGCTTCAAAATAAACATAAATATCAAGAATCACAAATATTTGCTCAACACACTGGCTGGGGAATTCTGGGAGTCCAACCCGTGAGGGATTCTGGGAATTGAAGTCCATCCCTCTTGAAAGGATTCTGGCTGGGGAATTCTGGGAGTTGAAGTCCACCTGTGAGGGATTCTGGGAGTTGAAGTCCATCCCTCTTAAAAGGATTCTGGCTGGGGAATTCTGGGAGTTGAAGTCCACCTGTGAGGGATTCTGGGAGTTGAAGTCCATCCTTCTTAAAAGGATTCTGGCTGGGGAATTCTGGGAGTTGAAGTCCACCTGTGAGGGATTCTGGGA